TTTTATTGTATATATATATAATATTTTATTATATTTATATTATAATAAATACTAAATGAAAATAACATAATTTGACCAAATGTAACTTTGTGACCAAATGTAATATTTAAATTGGAAGTGATTGAGTGAAATATATATATATATGGATGGAATCAAGATGAAAAGTGTTAGTATTAATGTGCCAAGTGTTGATGAAAATATCTTTCTTTAAATGACTAAAGACTCAGTTGCTCAGGTTAGGCAGTTCATTTCACCAGCAGGAAACCCTTCGATTTTTTTGCTGACTCCTCTCTGTAGCACAGGTCTGCCTTTGGCCTCTGGTCTGCCTGGTGTGTTGACCCTCTGGCTCCACTTCAAACCTCCAAGCCTATCACTCCACTTTTTACCAGTTGGCTCCACCTGGGACCAATGGCCTTCCGGCTCCTCCAAGCTTCCTCATCCATCGCTTGGTTAATCATCACTCTGCCTTTGCCACAGACTTCCGGCCCTTAGCCTGTGCCTCGGGCATCCACCCAAGTCACACAGGCTGTGCCTTAAGCCTGTTTTATGCTTCTGCGTCGAATCGACGGCGTACCCCCGCAGACCCCTATCCGTCGATGCGAACCCCTCTCCGACCCCTCCGCCGTAGCTCGACGTGCACCTCCAAAAATTTGTAACTACGCGTCGAGGCGACGCAGACAGCAAGGGCTTTGATTGGTCAGATTATACATAATTTCAGGAGTGTAGCTTTTCCGATTTCCCCCTCCCGCTATTAGCGCTATTTTTAACATTTGCACCCTCGTTCTGATAATTATAATACTCTTATAAAGAAAGTAAATAAAGAATTAATCTAAAAATAAACTGTTTTTTTTATTTCATTGTTAATATATACGTCTATATTCTTTCCTTTCTTTTTTGCTCGCAATAAACTTCAATCAATCATAAATCAACGTTTGTTTTGAAGCACAGTTTGTTGTTTATTTTCAATACAATATTCACGGTTACATCATTGATAATACAGTACTAACCAAGTCTGCCACGGGACACATTATATCCTGCCATAGCACAGTTCCATGTGGAGACTGAAAAAATCCTTTAAGTCATTCCGAACAGGTATCGTTATGGCAGCTCGGGTGGAACCTTTATTTTACTGTCTATGGGTGGAACGGGCCCTGGACATCCGTGTTGATTCTGTGGGGATAAAGTTTGTGTCGTCTTGTTATTCAATGTCGATTAGCTCCAGCTGGCAGCTGCAAAAACAACATTCTCTCTTTCGCTCGCGGCGCACGGAACCAAAGAGATTCGCGAACCCCCCTAGCGTTCTGGCGGCGAAATTCACCGCGATGCACCACAACCTCACGCAGAAGTATACAACGGCCACGACGCCGTAGCAGTGACGACGCAGCTACGCCGTGGAGTTGACGCAGAAGCATAATGAGGCCTTCAGTCCTCCGGCACCCTGGCTTTACCTCAGCCATTCGTCCCCGTGCATCCACCTTGGTCTCCAGGACCTCCAGGGTTGCCCTCGCTCCTTGGCTCCATCTCTGTCATTTGTCCTCCTAGTTTCACTTGGCCTCTACATGAAGTCTCACTTTAAGGTCAGTTTAAGGTCACTCCCTGGCTCCTCCTACTGTTTTCTCCTCCCTGGCTCCTCTCTTAAATCCTCCCTGTTCAATTTACCCCTGAAATTTGAAAGTAATTAATCCGTTACATTTATATAGCGCTTTTCTGGACACTCAAAGCGCTTCACATAGAAGGGGGGGGGATCTCCTCAACCACCACCAATGTGCAGCATCCACCTGGATGATGCGACGGCAGCCATAGTGCGCCAGAACGCTCACCACACACCAGCTTACTGGTGGAGAGGAGACAGTGATGAAGCCAATTGGTGTATATGGGGATGATTAGGAGGCCATGATGGACAGAGGCTACTGGGCAAATTTGGGCAGGATGCCGGGGTTTACACCCCTGCTCTTACGAAAGACATCCTGGGATTTTTTATGACCACAGAGAGTCAGGACCTCGGTTTAACGTCTCATCCGAAGGACGGTGCTCTTTTTGACAGCATAGTGTCCCCATCACTTTGCTGGGGCGTTAGGACCCACACAGACCACAGGGTGAGCACCCCCTGCTGGCCACACTAACACCTCTACCAGCAGCAACCTGGCTTTCTCAGAAGGTCTCCCATCCAGGTACTAACCAGGCTCAGCCCTGCTTAGCTTTAATGGGCAACCAGTCTTGGGCTACAGGGTGATATGGCTGCTGGCGAAGTAGTTTATCAAATAAAACATCTAAATCACTAATACAACCCCCATTCCCTGAAGGTGATTTTTATTGCAAACCTCACCCAGTGTAGAGGGTAGGTAAGGACTCACTCGCTCAGTTAAGTTTTGCACTGAGGAGACGGTGTGTCCCGGCCGTTCAGCGGAGGGACAGCTATTGTGGAGATGGGACATAACGTCTCTGTTCCCTCCTCCCTCCTAGTTGTTCACTATCAGTCAGTCACATTCAATGTTCACCTAGTCCACCCACACCTGCTGGAGCGGAGAAAGGACAGGGCTTTAACGCAGAGAGGGTCAAGTCCATACAAGGAGTTTCCATAGGTTTGGACACAAAGGGTGAATTCAGGCGACCCCGACTGAGCACATTCGTTCATGAGATGTACTGTAATGTTGACTGGGTCCAACTCCATACTGAGAAAAGAGATTCTCTGCACAGGGAAGAGTTTGCAGTTTTCCTAGTTGACCTGAAGCCCCAAATGACTGAGGTGCCGGAGCAAAAGGCCCCTGTGTTCGCACAACTGCTCTTGCGGGTGGGCCAAAATGAGCCAGTCGCCGAGGTAGTTGAGGATGCGAACGCTGTGCTCCCTCAGAGGAACAAGGGTCAGTGGGAAGGGTCTGGTTCAGTACACGCAGGTCCAAGATTGGTTGTAACCCACCGCCTTTCTTGGAAACAATGAAGGGCTGTAAAACTGAATCGCAAGGCAGAGTCCGAATGAGCCAGCGAGCCACTTAGGCTGTCGTACATGACCGAGGGAAATCTACATTCTTTGACTAAATTTAAAGGACAAGCTAATTTCATATCAGAGTGTCTGGGTATTTTAAAAGACAGTGTGTGTTGCCCAGAGGATCTTATTCAAGCTGCACTAATGCCAGATCTCCAAGGGGTGATTTGCCTGATTGATATTTCCCAGTTGGTTTTGAACTATGGCACGTGGATGCACATTAAAACAATGAAAGGCCTTTAAAAATGGCCAGCTACTTCACTGAATGAAGCTAGAATTTAGATGCTTTTACGTCAGGTTAAACCATGTGAATGAAATGCGCTCAGCCAAAAGGAATGCATACTGATGCAATGGCCATTCACTGCAACTCCATTTTCATTCATGCTCTGACTCTACTGCTCATGACAGATACATTCAAAATACACAGAAGCCCTCCACTTTATCCACCTCTCACATGCTCTCAGAAACTATACAAAACGTCATTGAGCAAGTCAACTTTTGGTTTTCTGCTGATCAATACAGTATTCAAGGCATGATAAAATAAAGGATATATCAACAGCTATGGTGTAAAACACCTGTTCATCAAACTACTGTGCAGCACACATATGATAAGGGACTATCAGCCCTTATCAGACTATAGCTTATAGAAGAAGGATGGAAAGATGTGACTATATTCACAATACTAAATTTACTTTCTTGACATATAGGTTGTGCATGTATTTAAACTCATACTTGGATATATCCCAAGACAGGAAAGGGCAGCTTTGAAAAAAATGCCCCAAACAGTCCACTGAAAGTCTTAAGCCTGTTTTATGCTTCTGCGTCGAATCGACGGCGTACCCCCGCAGACCCCTATCCGTCGACGCGAACCCCTCTCCGACCCCTCCGCCGTAGCTCGACGTGCACCTCCAAAAATTTGTAACTACGCGTCGAGGCGACGCAGACAGCAAGGGCTTTGATTGGTCAGATTATACATCAATTCAGGAGTGTAGCTTTTCCGATTTCCCCCTCCCGCTATTAGCGCTATTTTTAACATTTGCACCCTCGTTCTGATAATTATAATACTCTTATAAAGAAAGTAAATAAAGAATTAATCTAAAAATAAACTGTTTTTTTTAATTTCATTGTTAATATATATGTCTATATTCTTTTCTTTCTTTTTTGCTCGCAATAAACTTCAACCAATCAATAAATCAACGTTTGTTTTGAAACACAGTTTGTTGTTTATTTTCAATACAATGTTCACGGTTACATCATTGATAATACAGTACTAAGTCTGCCACGGGACACATTATATCCTGCCATAGCACAGTTCCATGTGGAGACTGAAAAAAATCCTTCAAGTCATTTCGAACAGGTATCGTTATGGCAGCTCGGGTGGAACCTTTATTTTACTGTCTATGGGTGGAACGGGCCCTGGACATCCGTGTTGATTCTGTGGGGATAAAGTTTGTGTCGTCTTGTTATTCAACGTCGATTAGATCCAGCTTGCAGCTGCTAAAACAACATTCTCTCTCTTTCGCTCGCGGCGCACGGAGCCAAAGAGATTCGCGAACCCCCCTAGCGTTTTGGCGGCGAAATGCACCGCGATGCACCACAACCTCACGCAGAAGTATAAAACGGCCACGACGCCGTAGCAGTGACGACGTAGCTACGCCGTGGAGTTGACGCAGAAGCATAATGAGGCCTTTATTCTTAGGAAATAACACTACATTTACAACATTACATAAGAGATATTTGGCCAGTGTTAGCATATAGGTTTGACTAGTATTTTTACTGTAGTTACTAATTACTTTAAATAAGTAAATACCAAAGCGGGTACTAAAGGAAAACTGCCTGTTACTGCATGAACATTTTAGTATAGCTGTAATCTGGCTGCATTATCCAGTTTATGTTTAAAAGCTAAGGCAGAATATTTAGTGTGTTTGAAAAAAAAAAGAAAAAAAAAAGAAAATGTTACAATAACAAGAATAATGTAGAGCCTGGTTAAATAAGAAAAGCACAAACAATCATTTACCTTGTAATTTGGATGGTGTAGAAAATAATCCGGACATCCGGCCACAGCCATGATTCAGTTCTGTAATGTCTCTCTTGGATATCACATCCACTTCAGATAGATGAGAAAAGAGTCTGAAATTAAATCAAAACAAAAATGTTACATCAAATGTTTCTTCAAGGTAAAAAAAGCTATCTGTTTCTTAGTTTATTCTAAGTGGCAACTACCAATATAGCACAGAGCAGTTCTTAACCCAAATAGTTCCACGGGGTCAGTAAACAACAGAAGAATAAGAGGAGGGAAATACAGAATCCGAGCTGACCAACAGCCACACAGTTACAGTATGTAAAAACAATTTCTAGACTGCCCTCTTTAAATCCAAGGCACTGGGAAAGCAACTTGACTTGCATTGTGAGGAGAGAATGAACATGTTAAAAAAAACAGATCATACAGAGCCCCAAATTGTGAACATTTCCACTGAGACCAAAATTATATATTTTCACTCATATAATGGTACCTTATTTTCAGAGGGTAAGATTATGTAGTCTAGCAAGCTTAAATGCATGTATTTATTTAGCTGTTTCACCATTTTGAAACTTTAAAAGTCATAGAAACATTAGAAGACACATGAACTGGAGTTCGTAAATAACTTTACACTTTCAAGGACCGTAACTGTATAACTATAAAGTTGAAATAATTGTTCTAATTCTATGAGAATAAATATCCTGGATAAGTTTCAATAATGTTTCAGAATTGGCCATAGCACTGCTCTAATCAGGATTCTATATGACGTTTTATTAAAAGCTGACCATGGGAACTGTGTCAGCCTTATCTTGTTAGACTTAAGTACAGCTTTTGACATGTTGGATCATGTCATTCTGCTGAAGCCCCTTGAGGGGCATGTCAAACTAAATAAAGTTGCCTTATGTTGGTTCTGCTCATACCTGAAGGGCAGAACATTCACAGTAAAGGTTAGGCATCATAATTCTTCTTCTGCTCCTATAACTTATGGGGTAACTCAGAGCTCTATACTAGGGCCGCTTTTCTCCTTTTACTTTGCTATTTTGCTCTATGTAAGCATGGCATTTCATATCCCTGTTATGCCAATGATGTGCAGTTGTATTTTCTTTTTAAAGCGGGAAATAATGCATCTGAAAATTCTCTGCTGGATTGCCTTGAGAATGTGAAATGCTGGATGAATTCCAATTTCTTAATGTTAAATGACAAAAAGACAGAAATTTAAATTTTTTACAAAAAATAAAATAAAAAGCATGAGTGTACTCCAGTAAAGCGTCGTCTTTATCGAGGTTACAATATGTTCAAAATGCTGAGGCCAAAATGAACAAATACTAAGTAGATGGACCATAAAACTCCAATCTTGGGATCTCTTAACAGGCTCCCGATAAATCAATGAATTGAGTTAAAAAAAAATATTGTTGTTTAGAACTAGACTAGGGTCATGTTTTTTTTATTATTGAAGTTTGACATTGAATCCTTTTGTAGATTGGGAATCTTCATCCTTTTTTAAGCAGTCAATAATTGGTGGTTGAAAGCTCAGGAGGTCCATGTGTTGATGTTTCTAGTCCTCTTAAAGCCACACTATTTAACTTTTGGGCATCTAATGGATGAAACATATTACTAAATGTTAACTAAACTAAACTAAAGCCCTTGTTGATTTGTCTTTTATTACAGGCACTGTCACTTTCCATTTTTGCTTGCTAATTTCAATTTGAGATGCATTTTCTGTCTTCAAACTACTATGAGACTTTTCACAACATACAGTAGTAGGCTTTCATTTATTTGCGGATATGACGTAAACGTGCATTGTCGACGATTGATGGGAATATGCAGTCTCTCGTGAAATCTATCCAGACCACTCTAAAATATAAATCATTATTATAGGCAAAAACATGGTTTAGAACAGGGGTCCCCAACTGGCGGACCGAGGTCCAGGTCCGGACCCCAATACCTTTTTATCTGGACCTCTAAACATTTTTGTTAAAAGGTTTTAGAAAAAAAATAAAATGAATTTTTACCGAGAGCAATTTTTGAACAGGCATGCGCGCGGGCAGCTATGTCTGTGTCAGGTCCTTTGCAAGAGCCGGGGTCTGGAGAGATCACAAACTTGTACACACATTACTATGTTATTCATGGATTGATTATTATGGCTTTGTCAAAAAGTTAGAAAAGTGCACTCTGAAAACCGCATCTTTCGAGATGAGTGGACTGAAGTGAACGCGTTCATTTTTGCCGTCATCAAGCTCTACGAGGCCCTGTGTGTCTTATTTGTTCGGAGTCTGTTGCTGTTGTTAAAAGTGGAAACATCAAGCGGCATTTCGAGACAAGACACACAACTTTCAATGAAAATTATCCGCCAATAAAAATTATGCTTCCTGTTGCTGTTATTGATGTTGAAAGGTTTGACATTTAAATATTTGCAATAAAATGAAATAATACTTGAATGAATTTCAACAAAATCAGTTGAATAGATTTAAAGATAAAGATTTGTTGACATGGTTACAATTTAATAAAATTTAATAACGTGAAAGAAAACTTTAAGTTTCCCATCAGTTTGGGAATTCTCAGCCCGTGGGATTACATAATGGAGTCGGGTCTGCACGTTTCACAGTGTCCAATCCTGCAACAATAGAGTGGGCAGCCCCAGGGGATGATGTCATCACCGTTAATCATGTGATTGACCTCTGGGCCACGCAGGTCCGACAGCTCCTCTTTTGGTATCTAAATTCACTCAATGTGTCTGACTCAAAATCAGTATTCAGAAGCTTTCTGAGCAGTGCATTGCACTCCTCAATCTCTCAATGCCTCTGGTTCAGTCAGCCATGGAGCTAAAAAGGAGAAGTGGGGTGCCAGCAACACCTCAGCAGGGATCTGTCTCTGAGAGAATAGTGAGGGCCCCTTTAGTTTTAGTTTTTTTTCTTTTCTTTTTTTTTTATGTGAAAGAGAGACGAAAGTTGAGGAACACAGGTCTGTCTGCAACAGACTATTGATTACCAAGAAAGGGAGAAAAGTCTTTTTAAATGAGGTAGAAACTACAAATAAAAAAAATATGAAATTATGAATGAGGGAACATTGAACCTAATACTGAACTGTCATAAAAAAATAAGTATATTGGTGCAGTATAGAACCGACATTGAGCGCTCCGAGCTGTGCTGTGGTAACGTTATTAGCTACCGCGGCGTGTTTTTCCACATTCAAATATTATTTTTCACTTTCAAAATTCTGTTGTTTTTTTTTAACTATTCGTTTATATATATTCGAAGTTAGAATAGTCATTGAGAGCCCTAATGCATACTGAACGGATAGCCTACACCTTAGCTATTTGCAGCCCTAATACAAACAGTTTTATAGACGAGGCATTTGCGTTTTCCATCTGGACCCACAAAATTGCTTAGCTAGCTATATATTTGCTAGCACATAACAGTTAAAGAGCAACGTGTTTCCATTTTCAAAGTGTTTAGCAATATTTCAGCAGTCAAACAGTTAAAAGATGCTTTGAAAGTTTAAAAGTTACCATTATCTTGAAGAGCAGGTTGCACTCTGCTAGTGGGGGAGGGCGGGGCACGTGAACTGCAACGTCTCAAGCAGCACAGAGGTGCCAGTGGCCGCCTGTCTATAAATAATGGCAGGAAAAAAAACTATCGGCGAACGCAGCAGCCGCGTATCGGCCGATTCCGATACACGTGAAAACCGCAAAAATCGGCCCGATATATCGGTCGATCACTAGACCAAAATGAGGTGGAGAATAGAATAACTTCATTTGTGTTCCAAAACTGAATAGAACACATGAGTGAGTAAATAATTATAATTAATAAATGGTGAACCATCCCTTTAAGATTTTTTTTTATTTTATTTTGTTTCATTCTTTGTATCCCCATAAAAAAAAGAGCAGAGTGAGGCCGTGTGTCCACCAAAGCGTTTTTAGCCAGCTGAAAACGCAAGACGCTCTGCTGAAGACGCCGTGCTTTGGGCGCTTGAGAGCGTTTTGGCAGCAACGAAACGTCTCAACGGAAAAAAACGCTGCGCTATGATACAGAATACCCGCAGCACAGTTTGAATGTTTACAGTTGGTCGGTGTGGTATTAGTCCCGCCCCTCCTCCACTGTGATTGGACGGCTGGGTAAAATGTGACAGTGATGAGCGCTGCGTTTTATCCAAAGTTGAACATTTTTCAACTCCCAGCGACCAGTAAAAACGCCGGGCGCTGAAAAAGCGTGAAAAAAAACGCTCAGCGCCTCGGTACGCTCATGCCGTTTAAAAAATGCGGCGCTCCCATTGAAAACATTTGAAAACATACGCCAGGCGCGTGGAAAAACGCTTTGGTGGACACACGGCCTGACTCTTTCTCATTTCAATCAAACAAACCATCAATCAATCATACAGCACATTGCTTGTGAAAAAGATTCTCAGACTTGGTCAAGATTGAAAATGTGACACTGAACCATGGAGAGCAGCAGAAAATCGCACGGTCACAAAATTCAGGTGTGCCAGAAACCGTAAAACTTATTTATGAACGATGGGAGAAAATTAAGCCCAGTGAGTTATGAGAGTTTTGAAGTCATAACATAGTACTGTGCAAGGAACCATGCAAAAAATATGTATTAATATGCCCTTCTAATCATAAAAAAGGAATATAAGATGCTTATGTTTTACTGCCACTAGCCATGATTCATTTCAGTTGGAAAGGAACAGCAGTGCTTTTGCTTCCGCTATTCATTTTATTATCTATGATTTTAGGCATTATAAGAAATAGAGTCAGTGAAGAATGTAAAGAGGGATATAAAACCCGCCTTGACCCCTACGACACTCTGTGTGTGGCTTGTTTGTTTGTTTAACAGATTGCCCAAGCACAAAAGCTGAATTGTACTGTGCTATGACGGCATGATAGGTTTGTTGAGCATTGTGGCAAGACGTTCATGTGTGCTTACAAAGTAAATGGAGAGCTTTAATGTCTAGCAGTGATTAGCCCTGAAGCAAAGGCCAAGCCTTTGAGATCTGCACCAGCCACCAGCTATTTAAAGTAAATCCTTATTGAAACAGTAGCAAAAGTTCTCTGAAAAGACCTATTCTTTAGCAAAATAATATTTTGACAGCCTTTACTCACCCTCATATAGTT